ACCTTCTCTACCAACATGGAAACAGTCCAGAAACCCCCATGTTATTAACATGACAACACCTGGCTTATTCAGAAATCAAACTTCTGTGAAGTTATAATCATTCAGACCAGTGATTTCTTTAATAAATACTCACTGAGCACCTAGTAGTTATCAGACGCTGTTCTCCCACTGGGAATGCGGTCATGAACAAAACAGACAGGAAAACTCTCTTCACAGAGTTTATATCTTAGTGTGAGGAGAAAGACGACCAGCAAAATTAAGTAGAATCTACCTATGTGAGGTCAGCAGGTGATAGCCGCTGCAGAGGGGGAAAAAAAACAGAAAAAGTGAAAGCAATTTGGGGGCAGAGAGAGGGTTACAAATTTAGATGGGGCCCCGGGTGAGGACCTTACTGAAAAGGTGACAGGTAAGGAAAAACCCTGAAGTAGGTGAGAGAATGAGGCATGGGTGAATCTGCGGGAAGAGTGTGCACAGCAAAGGATGTGACAAGTACCCAAAATACAATATAATTGGGAATTACCCTGTACGAGAAAGAGCAGTGAGAGTGGGCATTAGGAAGCCTAGATTTTAGGGTGAGCCCCTGTAGTGCGCACCTGGGTGACTGTTAGCAAGTCGCTCAGCACCTTGAAGTTCAAGTAGAAAATACGGCATGGGCCTGGGGAATGGAATCCTGTCTGAGTTTCTTACCTCCTGTATCCATTAATAATTGAGCCCTAAGAGGAGGTTAGATGGCATTTGGCTCCTTTAATCCATGAGGCACAAACATACATGGTGCATTCAAGAAAACTCTCCATCAGGGACACTCACTTACAGTAAAAGGGCGCCGTACTTAAATGTGGAACTTCAATAATCTAGAACACAAAATGACACCCCGTACCTCATTCCCTGAAACTCCTACTACTAGGAGCGATAAGGGTAAAGGGGCGTTGCAGTAACAGATTTCACTTTTCACGAGTGAGAGGCACTAACAGTTTGAGGTTTCTATTTCATTTGATATGGTGCATTATTTCAATACATGGTGTGGCGTGCTTTGTCCATGCATTTATTAAAAACTGTGCAAGGTCTGATAGTAGTTTACTTGCTGCCAATTGAAATAGGAAGTTGAATTCAACTTAGGACACTGAGATCCCATAGAACAGAGCAAGGTAATGTGTTCACGGTGTTAATTTTATGATCTGCCATGGGCTTTTATATTTCCTTAAAAAAAATACTGCGTAGAAACACAAAAGGAATAGGTACGCATATCGACACAGAGAGATGGTTCCCTGTATATTTATTTGCTTTCAGTCGTGCTAGGGAGGAAGAATTTCCTGTGCCCTTCAAGCTGGACTCCTAGCTGGACTTAGAACCAAATTGACATGAGACAGATTAACAGAAGAAAATCAAATCTAATCGTATAGGTGCAGGGAATCCACACAAACACGGAAATTCCAAAGACAGGCAGCATGATGCTATATGAGCTAAGGATAGGGGTAGGAGTGTGAGGATACACAAAGGGGAAAATGACCATTGAGAGGAAGTGTGTGGAAAACAAAAGCTGCCCTATTATATAGACCGACCAGCTTCTTAGGTAAACAGGTATCTCTGTTGATTGCTCTCTTGCAGCCAGTTGGCGGGGAGGTCAAGAGCTTTTCCTGAATCTGCTGGGATTTGATTGCTTTTAAATCAAAATAATCTTCATGCCAAAGTGGCCCATCTTGAGATAGCCTGCCCTTGACCCCTACAGTGTAAAAACTCCACTTGCATTGTTAGCACCTCATAAGGGAAAGGAGCTAAATTTTTAGAATCATCTCGGCTGCTTTGGGTTTTATTCTAAATTTTTCTATTTGGTTCCAGCTGTTCTATTTGGTTCTGTTTTGTTCTATTTTGGTTCTATTTGGTTTTCA